TGTTCCCCTTTGCTCCTTCTCCCCCCCCCCCCCCCCCCCAAGAGGCACCCTGGTGAAGAGAGCATCTCTGATCCCTTGCTGCATGCCCCTAATGAATTTGTAGGCGGCCACAAGGTCACCTCTCAGCCTTCTCTTGCGGAGGCTGAAGAGATCCAGGTCCCTTAGTCTCTCCTCACAGGGCTTGGCCTGCAAACCCTTAACCATATGAGTGGCCCTCCTCTGGACCCTCTTGAGGTTATCCACATCCTTCTTAAAATATGGCCCCCAAAACTGGACGCAGTACTCCAACTGTGGTCTGACCAATGCTGCATAGAGGGGAAGCATCATCTCCTTGGATCTATTTGTCATTCATCTGCTAACGCATGATAAAGTGCGGTTAGCTTTGCCTATGATTTTGTCACACTGATGACTCATATTCATCTTGAAGTCCACTACGACTCTGAGATCCCTTTCTGCTTCTGTGCTGCTGGGAGGATAATTTCCCAGCCAGTAGGTGTGCTGGATATTTTTACATCCTAGGTGCACCATTCTGCATTTGTCCTCATTGAACTGCATCCTATTGTGTTCTGCCCACTTTGCCAACCTGTCCAGGTCCACCTGCAATCGTTCCCTACCCTCCGGTGTGTTCACTTCACCCCACAATTTAGTATCATCTGCAAACTTGGACAGAGTACACTTCATGCCCACATCCAAGTCACTGATGAAGAACATTGAAGAGTACAGGTCCAAGGACCGAGCCCTGCGGGACTCCACTGCCCACATCCTTCCAGGTTGATACCAACCTGTTTACCACCACTCTCTGGGTGCGACCCCCAAGCCAATTTGCCACCCACCAGACTGTGTAATCATCTAAATCACAGCCTCTTAATGTATTTATGAGAATGGAATGAGATACCATATCAAAGGCCTTCCTAAAATCCAAGTAAACAACATCCACCTCTACTCCTGTGTCTAAGCGTTGTATGACCTGGTCAAAAAAAGAAACCTGATTAGTTAGGCATGATCTACCTGCTACAAATTCATGCTGGTGCCCCTGATGCATTATTTTTCCTGCTGGACTCACATAAATATGATCCTTAATAATTTTTTCAAAGACTTTTCCAAGGATAGAGGTGAGACTAACTGGACTATAATTACTCAGATCCTCTTTCCCCCGCTTCTTGAAAATAGGGATCACAATGCGCGTTTTCCATTGATCCATTTACTTCAGCGCCGTATCTGAGAGATGCCAGTACTAAATTCTTCGCAAAAGTGCTCAGAAAATGCTTATATGAACAATTATGTGAAAACCCACCTAGAAGGGAAATTCATTTCTAAGCAATGTCATGTAGGGGTTAAATTATGATCCAAGGCATGAAAATATTCATTATAATCAACAGGGAAATGCTACATATTTTCTAAACCACATATGTGACCTATTCAGAGAGGTAAAGTTATTGTATAGTGAATTCTAAGACTTTCCTGTATGAATGTATTGTTCTAGCTTAGCAGGGGGATGCAGGTAAAACAAGCAGAGAAACACACTCCTAGCAAATGTTTGGGAGGCAATTACAGGACCTTGTCACACTTCTAAGACTAAGAAAAAGATAACAGTCATTCTGTCAATGGTGGCAAGAAAAAGATTAACAAAAATAATAGTTAAACAGTAAATAATAGTTAATTAGTTAAAAACTAATTCAGGAGTGAGTGTGTCAACTGTCAGGGAGACAGCTTGATGGGGTTGGTGGAGGCAGGGTGGAGAGAGAGGCTGATAAGGATGTCTGAAGGAGATGGACCTTCCTAGACCAAGGACATAGGAAGCCTTAGGGCAGGGCAAGGTACATGTATAGGCTGGTTTGTTCTGTTAAGACTTTACCCGAGATATTTTTGTTCTAAATAATAAACACTTTGCTTTGAGGAGGCTGCTTGGTTATTGGACCTTGCTGTTATAGCCCCCAGAAGGAAAAGACTGGAAGGTCTGAGCCAAAGGCAGCTCTGCTGAGATAAGTTACGGCTGATCACAGGAAACCGCAGTTCACCATCCCATTGGAGAGCAGAAAAGTTGCAGGATTCTACCCAGATTCAGATGTCTACTAAGGGCCCGAGAGAGTGCATGTTTAAAGATCAGGAGTGGCCAAGGTGCAGTCAGCCTAGTGACGGTTGCAGAGGATAAAGCCTTGTGCTCCTCCTCACAAAACCAGAGGGAAGAAGCCAAATACTTGTGGGTGGAGGGTTGGGGAGGAGGGGACGGGGTTAATATTAAGGATGCAGGAAACTTTCACAGAAAACAAGACAGAGGGAGACCAGTTCTGAAGAAAAAAAAAAAATCCTACTGTTCTTGTGGAACCATTTATCATTGTCACAGTAACTATTCAACATCAGGCTATTCCAAGAACAGCATTCAGACTACAAAGGGAGCTACTATACCCAAACTTCTTCACCACTTTCGAAAGGACAGCCATTGAAATCAAGTTTTCTGCTTAGCCTCTGACCATACACAGCACAGGTTTCAGCTCTCCACTCTCTTCCTACAGGAACAGCACTAAAAAGTAACAACTTTTGAACCCAACTACTTGAACCAGAGATCCACATTTGTTCGTTTCCCAGGTCAGATCAGAAAGCACCATAGGGGAAATCTGGCTTTGCAAAATGTTTTTGTACAGAATGGTCCATTTTCCAGGTAAAAATAGGACTACATGATCCTAATTCCCTCCCATTGTATGGGCTCAGAGTGTTGCCTTCATCTCTCCTGCTCTTTTTCTATGGAACAGCATTAGGGTTTTTTGTTTTGTGTGGGTTTTCTTTTGGGTTTTTTTTTGAGAATTAGGGTATCTAATACAAAAAAAGCCCAGTTGGGGTATTAGGGGTGCTGAGTAATGTTCTTGTGGACCTTTCTAATCTAAGGGTTCTTCTTCTCACAATTATTATATGGCTGCCCACAGCCATAGGAGACTGCATACAGGGAATCAGATGGTCTCTCCAGTCCTGTGTTCTTATACAGAAGTTCCCATAGCCTACTGCCAGTGCTTGGAGCTGTGCATTCTCCCCAAGCCTACTTTGTGTGGCAGGCTTTTGAGGCAATAAATGCCCAGGGAATAAAAGCAAAAACAAGAATCCACCCAAGGGATGGAGACATGATCAAAGTTTCTTTTACAGAGAGAGGAAGCATTCACACATATGAATATCATAAAAGCTTCTTTCAATCTAATTTACAGAAAAAACCTACTCCAAATTGAGAGCACATTGTCCAAGTTTGCTGATGACATTAAGATGTGGGGCAAGGTGGGCACACTTGAAGGGAGAGAGAGGCTGCAGCTAAATTTAGACAGACTACAAAAGTGGGCAGATGAGAATAGGTTGGGGTTCAACGTAGACAAATGCAGGGTGCTGCACCTTGGGAGAAGGAATCCACAGCATACATACAGGCTGGGGAGTTCCTCTCTTGAAAGCACAGAGGTGGAAAGGGATCTTGGAGTCATTATTGACTCCAAGATGAACATGAACTGCCAATGCCAGACCGCAGCCAGCAAGGCCAGCCATACCTTGCCATGCATCCAAAGATGCATCTCAAGCCGGTCCAAAGAGGTGATACTCCCCCTCTATGCAACATTGGTCAGGCCGCAATTGGAGTACTACATCCAGTACTGAGCACTGCACTTTAGGAAGGATGTGGCCAGCCTGGAGAGGGTTCAGAGGAGGGCCACCCGCTTGGTGAGAGGGCAGCAGGATAGGCCCTATGAGGAGAGACAGAGGGACCTGAACCTATTCAGCCTCAGCAAGAGGAGGCTGAGGGGGGACCTGGTGGCTGCCTACAAACTCATCAGGGGAGATCATCAGCAAACAGGAAGAGCCCTTTTCTCCCCAGCACTACCTGGGGTGATAAGGAACAATGGTAATAAGCTGATGGAGAATAGGTTTAGGTTAGAGATCAGGAGGCAATATTTTACAATTAGGGTGGCCAGAATCTAGAACCAACTTCCCAGGGAAGTGGTCCTCGCCCCTACCTTAGGCAAATTCAAAAAGAGGTTAGATGATCACCTGTCTGGGGTCTTGTGAACCCAGCATTCATTCCTGCCTGTGGCTTGGAGTCAGGCTAGATGATCTGTTCAGGTCCCTCCTGACCCTAGCTACTATGAAATTCTAGTTTTGTACAGGCACTTGCAAATTTGAAATGACAAGTTGATTCTGTGGCTCTGTAACCTGCCTTAGTGCATCCGCTAGAAAAAAAAGTTGAAAAGTTTAAAATCTGTGGCCAATATTTACCAAACTCAAGTTTCCCAGAGCAAAATGTACCTAAAATCATTTCCGTTCACTCCTGGACTCAGCCAGGGCAGGTACACCATGAGCAAGCTATCGAATCAAGTGGTAGCTTTGTGGTGACCTGATTTTCAGAAGTAATAAGTACTCACACTGCCTCTTGAAGTTGCAGGAAGATAGAGAGGATTGCCATTCTAGTGGGGTGGGGCTGAGGGGAGGAAACAGAAGTCAGGACACCTATTTAAGTACTATACTTCAATATGGAGTTAGAGTCCTCATCTTAATGCACCAATAATTTGACACTTTTGGCTGTACAAAACAGGTTTACTCAAAATTCAGAGATGGTGAAGCTTGGACAGATAACATTATTCAGGTAAGATTAAAAACAAGACATTTAAAAATTAAATTTTTGTTCAAATCTTTATCAAAAAAGTGCCTGTGCGTTCTCAAGAAATCACTGAAGAGGAATGCTACAGGAAGACTTATCTGGACGAGCTGAAGATATGTCAATTTAAACACAAGGAGGGAAATGAGAAAAGTTTGTTTCAATTTCATGTAAATCCATGCGAGAAAAGTAAGAGTTTTACCTTTAGGCCACATACAGATATTACACTTTTACTGGTATAAGTGATCAGAAACCCATCTATACCTGTAACAGAACAGAAGTTTGGCACATACAGACTGATTTAAAAATGGCAGAACCCAGTCTAAGATTTGCCCCCTTCCTCACAAAAGGGAGGCTGTGCTCTGTTCACCACAGATCTAAACTATACCGCTTACAGAACTTAGACTGATGCTGCCTTAGGCTTTTTGAATGTCTGTACCTAGCCTTAAAGGTTCTATTTGACAGAAGACATTAGGGGATAGTTTCTGAACAGGGACTATTCCTAACATTCAGGAGCACAGATTTTCAGGGACAAATACAAAACTGACTGACAGAAAATAACCTTCAAACTATTGTTCTCCCTACATACAGGCTAGTTTTCAAATTAGTATCTCAGTAAATAGTACCATTTGCCCTTTAAAGCAACTGCACTATTAGTATCGTCCCATGTTGCAATGCTCAATTTTGAAGCAGTAAAAAATTTACCCAGTAGGTCATGAGAGTGAAAAATAATCCTAGGCATAGACCCACAAGTTGTTTTGTGTCCACACAAACCCACTGAGGACAATGAAATTCTGAGTGGAAGAAGTGCTTTGTCAGCGCAAAAGAGCTTGCAAGATTACAGCCCAGCATTGAGAGGTGGAGAAGACCGAACAGATCAAAGGTTCTTACGGCCTTTGTACAAACCACAAAATTAGCCTTTAAAGCGGCTTAAATACCCTTTTGTACCGCTTTAATGGTGTTGCTTTTTGCGCACTCGGTGGCGTATTCCACTTTAAATGACTAAGGTGTTTTATCTTGCTACATACCAAGGCGTTTTAGTTTGTACCTAACAAAGTGCAACAGTATATGGGCCATTGGAAGCCGATGTGCTCGGGACTTGGTGGGTCCTGCATAGCTCAGGGGCTGTGGGACCTGGCAGCAGCCCATGCAGGCAGGCTCCACTGAAGGAGAAAAAAAAGTGGCAAGCCTGATCTCCCCCCCACCCCAGGCTGCCTGAGCTGTGCAGCGGCCTGGTGCTTCCCTCTGCAGTTGCAGGGGGGGCGGTGTTTCCCTCCATGGCTGTGGCAGCCCCTGGGACCACCTGGGCCAGGTGTCACCTGGGGGACCCCCACGCAGTTCAGAGACGGCTCAGGCTGCTGGCAGCTCACCCCCTTCCTCCTCGCCACCAAGAGGCAGATAAGGATTGGGCCCCCACCCCTGTGTACATGCCACGGGGGTTTAGTTTGGTTTCACTCTTAAATGGAAGTGGTGTTTTTAAAAACCCACCGTTTCAATTTAGGGAGAACTAAACCAAATTAAACCCCGTGTGGCATGTACAAGCAGCCTTAAACTCTAAGAGAAAGCTCTAAAGCACAAATCAGTTTGATATAATAATGGGCAGCTTTAACGTGAAGGTCTCCTCACGGATATGGCCCACCCTCCCATCTGTGGTCACGAAAGTGACCTTTGTATTCCTCTGATATTCCTATGTCAGCTACAGTAATCATTATTGTGGAAATGGGTCGTAAAGGAAACAACACAGTTGAAGCTGTCTTCATGCATCATAGCATCTGGAAAGGAGGGGGAAGCTAGCATCAAATTAACTTCTTAGGCTCCCACAGTTCAATAATCCTCCTAATAGATGATCTGGTAACCTGGTTTTGCCTCTGCAGTACATTTTCTATGACCATTTCCAGTCTACCACCAGAAACATCAAGCCACATGGAAGCTATGGATATCTCACTGATGCCGGTGTAAAATAATCAAAATGCTCCAGCTACTTGACACTTTAAGGGCATATACAACCAAGTTAAAAAGCATAGGACAAACCATGCGTCAACTGTGTGGTGCATCTCCTCCAAACCTGCCTTAAACTAGAACAAATTTACTTCTAAATGAAACGGGAAAGCTAAACCAGGGCAATTTATGCTTACCACAGGATAGGAGCAGACACATGACACAGTTACCACAGATCAGCTGATTCAACAGTTACACTTTTTTACTTAATATAATTTGTTCATGTATCCATACCCTAGATCTCTTCCATGTTCACCCAATATATTAATAACAATATAATTACACCTTCCTCCAATAATCCCTTCACTGATTTTTATTTGTTGTTAGATCACAGAATGAGTGATCCTGAAGCAACGCATCAATAAGGACTAGCAGTCTTGCTTGTCTACTTATTTAAATTATGAACACCGTTACATATCAAGCTCTTCTGTACCATCATTACTGCATTATAATAACTGGAATATTATATCATATAATTACCTAGGTAGACTTATGACCTGCACTATTCTAGTATCTAAGCCTCTCATAATCATTAATGGATGTTATCCTCATCATGACAATGTCACGAGGAGGAAAGTAATGATCTTTGTTTTACAGGTAGAAAACAGGAACAAGACAGACCATGCAATCTGGGGCCAAACTACAAGTAAAACTCAGGTCTCTCTACTCTCAGCTCGGTGCCTGTCCACAGGGATCGTCCACCTTCCACTTGCAGCTGACACAATTCACAAGGGATTAAGAGGGGGACCATGGTCACAAGGTGGAATGTGAAGTCTCACATACCCCTTGGAATTCAACCCCCGTATTGGTTGCTTTTAAGCAAGAACATTTTCAAAATATATCGCTTGCTAACACGATTGGAACTGCAGCACAGAGAGAATCTAGAGGAGGTTTGGTTTTGGTTTTTTTGTTTTTTTATAGCTCATGGGATTCTAAGATGAGGAGAAATGCCTTGCAGACACCGACACTAAAAATAGCTACGTGAAACCTGTTTCCCTGAATATTATTCAATTCCATTTTCATACCTGCTTTAGCAGGTACCAGCAGAGGAGCTGGAATAAAGAAACACCCTAGATCACCTCTGGAGAAGTTTGTGGAGGGACAAAGTACAAGAAAGCTTGCACAGAGAAACTTGTTCTCCCTTCTAAAGGGTCTGGCTTGGGCTACATGTCCTGCATACAATGAAAACTCAAGATGTGCTGTGAAAGAGACTGGACGAATAGAAGGGAAAGAACGAAAAGAGCCGAGCTGCTACCAAAGGATGGAGGAGAGGAAGCAGCGGAGAACTTGGTACGTCTCAGCACAGAGACCTCAACTTGTTGGAACCAAAACCTTTCTGCAGCGGTGTGCCTTTGGAGGAGAGCGGGGCTGGGGAAAGTGCCTCGGTTCCTGGAGGAGCAAAGCTGGTCAGGGTTCCCCCCCAGACCTGTCTGGGACGTGGGCTTAAAGCTCCGCTTTGATCCCTCCTGCAGCAGGCCAGAGACGTGACGGCCCAGGGCAGGGCGGGGTGCGCCCCGACGGGCCGGGCGCCGGCTGCCTCCCTCGCTCTGCACCTGCCCCAGGGACGGCGGCGAGCGCAGCCCGCTCCTGCGGGAGGGGAAGCGTCCGCAGCCCGCTCCAGAAGAGCCTTTAGGGCCGGCCGACGGGG